AGCAGCAGCACTTGGCGGCGGGTACGGCTGGGTATGGGGCGCCGTGACCCCCAGCGGCATGCCAGCGCTGCTGCCAGCATGTGCAGCGCTGAGAGCAGCAGGGGCCGCCCAAAGCCGTGCACAGTGAAAATCCACTTGTTGAGGCTCGACATGCTGGCTCCCACCAGCAGCCACACTAGTGCTGCCATGGCCACCCGGGCCCGGCCAGGCCGCCCAAGAGCCTGGAGGGTGTCTGGCGGCCACTCGGGGGACCCAGCCACCCGAGCACTGCCAGACACTGCTACTGCCTCAGCTGAGGTCATCCTGCCGTCATGGTGCTCCAGAGGGCAGCGGCACATCCGTACCAGAGGGGCTGGGGCAGCAGGCTGGCTACCTGGTGACCAGTTGTGGGCTGCCAGAGAGCCCCACTTTGGGCCAGGCCAGCTCTCGGAAAGGTGAGGGCGCTGCTTCTTGCGCCAGGCCTGTGCCAGCTGAGGCCCAGGAGCTATGCTGTGCTCCGGCTCAGGCAGAGCTGAGCCCTGGTCGAGGCTGCTGGGATGCCAGGCTCTCTGGTGCTCAAGCCTGGCCTAGTAAGTCCCGGGCACCTTCGCTCTATGCCAAGTGGAGTCCCCACTCTTCTCCCCGCCTAGTGCCCACACTGTGCTTAGATGGAATCCTCGTTCCTTTACCTTTTCAGTCCAGGCCCGGGGGCGTCCCCCGCCGCCCCAGGATTGAGAGGGACGATCCAGGTTCCCTTGCCTCTGTTGGCCAGTGGTCGCGGCTTGCTGTCTCCTACAGTGCCAGGTCCGGCCGCTGGCTGACACGCCGGCCCGTGCTCTGGCCGGTGCCAGGCGGCGAGCTCGGCTCGGTTCCGCCAGGGCCTGTGCTCCGGCTCCGGCTCCCGGCGGGTCCGGATGCTGCTTGGGCTGCGGCTGCGGCTGCGGCTCCGGCAGCAGCTCCAGCCCGGCTCCAGCGCGGCCCGGCCCTGCCCGGCGGGCGAGGCCCCGCGCTTCTGGCCCCGCCTCCGCCGCCGCCGCCCGCGCCCCACCCGGAAAGTTGGGCTGCGCCCCCGGCACCGCCCCTGGCCAGGCCCTCCCGCCCCCGGAGCCGAGAGATGTCTCGCCCCGCCCCCACGCCGACAGCTCGCAGGCCCTCCTCCATCCGCCCTGAGTTCCCTGCGTTAGCACGGCCCTTTAGCCGAAGTGGTCATTCCGTTTGGGCCCCTTACACAACCGGTGGGGAACCAGGCCCCGCCCCACCCGGCGCCAAGGTGAGCCCTTCATTGAACCAACACAGGGCTGGAGACACTGGGGTATCTTTCTAAAGGAGCAGGATAAAAAATCCCAGCCTCACAGGAAACCCCATCTTCAAGGCTACCCCCTAGGGCTCCCATCCCAGGACCAGACTCAGGACCACCGATCCCTGGCCACAGTTACTTCTAGGGGTTTCAGCCATCAGAAGGCTTGGACCACCCGGCCCCTTAGTCCCAATACCTCCTCCTTCCCCAGCCCAGGGCGGGACCCTCTAGGCAGGCAGAGGGAAACTGAATCACCAAGGCCACCCACAGCTGCGGAAGCGGGGAACCGCTGGCCCGTATCCATCCCTGGCCAGCAGCCCCTACCCCATGCCCTGGGCATTCAGAGCTGATTCACAGCTGAACTTCCTGGGGTCCACCCTCTGCCTCCAACCCCGGCAGCATGGAGAACCCTGAGAGGGCTGGGAGCCAGAGCAGCTGCCACTAAGCCCTTGCCTCTGCATGCTTCTCAGCTTTCACATCCGAACCACGGATGTTCTCTGAGCTCAGGGCTGGGTAAACAGCACGTCGACTAGGTTAGTGAGGCTCACCCCTAGCCTGTTGTCTGACCAGCAAGTCTTTGATGACAGCAACCTGTCTGGAGGAACAAGACTTCAAAGGATGACTGCTTAGCTCGGTCCACAGCGACCTCTGGTGGTTAGTCCATGGAATAGCTGCACGTGTCTCCCAACCCCCATCAGAGGTGGATTTAAAAATCCCAGCCACCCTCCCCAGGGACTTGCTGAATCAGACCCTCTCTGTTGGGCCTAGGAATCTGCACTTTTTACATTGCATCTGGTGATTCTAACACCCCCTGGAGCTTTCAAATCACTTCCAAATAGCCCAAATTGTAAGGCAGGGGATTTCCAGGTCAAAAACTAAAATATGGGGAGTATTTAGACAGGGTTTCTCCAGGAAGGGGCTGTGGGAGAGAAAGTGAGCCAGCTGTTAAAAAAGAAAGACACAGGCCCGACATGATGTCACTTCTAGGCCAAGTCATTAAACCAGGATTTAATGCCTAATCTAACTGCAGTTTCAACCTCCTCCAGAAATATAGTTCAGAAATTCTCTGACTGGCATCAATAAAACAATCTGTCACAGGTGCCCTCTTCATCTCCCAAGGATGACGAGATTTAATCCACCTAAAGGGACACTATTCTTGCCTCCTCTCGCATCCACAGATCACACTGGAATGTGTATAGCAGATCCTTTCGGACACTAACTAGATGTATCCATGCCACACTGCATGGATTGATAAATGTGACCCTTTCCTGTGTGTATCCCCTGCTACAAAAAAGTATTTATGATGTCTCCAAATGCAGGGGCTTTGGAGCAAATCCTCCCAGGTTATTTGCTAGCCATAATCCTTAGTAAGACTACAAATCAACATTGTCTTTCTTAAACATAACAGTTGTACTGATTTTAGTTGAAGTCAGAAGGCAGCACCCACCTCCCCCCGCTCCAACATTTCCTGAAAAGGAGGAATCAGGGCCCCTTAAAGGTTACATTCTTTTTGAGACTTTGTCAGTTTTCCAGTGTTTCCTTTACTCACAAAACAATAATAATAATTTTAAAAATAATAAGCACCCTGGCCTTCTCATAATTGGACTAGCAGGAGTGGTAGGCAGGGTCTATACCTCTTCCAACACTGCCACAGAGCATCTCCCACCGGACTGCTGGTGAGGGGTGGGCTGTGAGGAATGAGGATTGATCAAGACGAGACTCAGTGGGCCTTGGTGGAATGGAGAGCTGCACACACTGAAGCGGGGGCTGGGGGGCAGAACCCAAAGCAGGGGTTGTGCAGCTTGAGTAGGGGGTTGGGGGAGGTCAGACTGAGTCTGTCTGGCTTCAGGGCCCCAGTTTTTAACCTGCCTTGATCTGTGGGCAGCAAGGTTCTCCACCGGCAGGCAGGCAGCTGCATGGAGGGCAGCAGGGGCCTGCTTTGTGCCCCTTGGGGTCTACCTGAAAGCTGGGGGAGCCTGCCCTTGCCCAGAGGCTCCCGAATGCCTCCAGTCTGAGTGCTGCCCAGGCTGCTGCTGCTGGAAGCAGGTGATTGGGGAAGGACTCCGGGAGGCACTGGGGGGTGAGAGAAGAACCCATTTCCAGCACCTTCCATAGAAAAGGTGTGCTGCTTTTGGCAGCAGTGGCTGCAGGACAGGCCTCTCCTCTTGTTGTTCCCTGTCCCTATACACATCACTTTCCTGCTGGGGCCTGTTTCCTCATCTGTAATCTACACAGCTCACAGGCATGAACACACCATCCTATAGCTGCCAGCTAGGACACAGGCTGAGAGAGGGGAAGTGGCTTGCCTGGGGTCATACAGATCTAAATGAGGCTCAACACAACCCTGGTCCCTAATCTCCAGGGAGGGCCTCTGTTTACCTGACTCTCAGTGGGGGACCCTGCACCTTCTCAGGGGGTCAGCTGGCTGTGCCAGATGAGACACCTTACCCAGTGGGTGGGCTGTGCCAATCAAATACCTCTCCAGGATCTGGGACATGGGCTGAGAAAATAAGAAGGGGCTGGGGAACTGAATTGGAAGGTGGCAGACTCACTGTAGAGGCCAAACTCAGAGGAAGATGACTAAGGGGGAGGAGAAGGCCTGAGGACAGTGGAGGTGATGGAGCCCTGAGCCCCCACTTCCCTACCACCCTTGACTGCCCCCAGAGTTGGTGGACTGAGTCTTTTCAGCCAATATCCTTTGGGTTGAACAAGATTCAGTAGTTTCCTGCTCCTCAGACCAAACACACCCCAACTAAAATAGTCGCTCTGGGGGTGGATCACGCCCAGTTCATGGCCCCTGGAGAGCCCAGTGCAGGGGCATTCCCTGCAGGTACCGTCCACCCTCTCTCTGGCCTGGCCTGAGCCCTGCCACCTCCAGGCCCCTATGTGGGATGGGCCATGGCCTCCCCAGTTGTGTCTCAGTGGGTGGGGAGGCGGTGGGGTGGGGAGGTGCCGAGTGCCTAGGGCTGGGATCAGCGGGGGAGGATCTTGGCTCTGGTACCTCCAGGCTCTGTGACCCTGAGGAAGCTGGAGACCTCTCTGAGTGTCCATGCTTCTGTGACGGGGCTGTAAAGAAGAGAGTCACAGAGCAGATCCTGAGTCCTCCCAGAAGTGCTCCTAGCCATGATTAAGGAGAGACAACTGAACAAGCCTTCAGCTTTCTGGGCACAGACATTTCACCTTAAAAACAGAGGTTGCTTCTAAGTGTCCATCAGTAGAAGAATGGATAAAGAAGAGGTGGTACATATACACAATGGATACCATTCAGCCATAAGAAGAAAACAAATACTACCAAACAAATCCAAAAACATGGATGGAGTTGGAGGACATTATGCTCAGTGAAATAAGCCAGGCAGAGAAAGACGAGTACCAAATGATTCCCCTCATTTGTGGAGTATAACAACGAAGCAAAACTGAAGGAACAGAACAGGGGCAGACTCACAGACTCCAAGAAGGGACTAACGATTACCAAAGGGGAGGGTGGGGAGGGAGGCAGAAGGGGATTGAGGGGTATTATGACTGGTACACATGGTGTGTGTGCGGGTCATGGGGAGACAGTGTAGCACAGAGAAGACAAGTAGTGACTCTGTGGCATTCTAGGACAGTGACTTCAATGGCGTATGGTGGGGGACTTGATAATATGGGTGAATGTAGTAACCACAATGTTTTTCATGTGAAACCTTCTTAAGAGTGTGTATCAATGATACCTTAATAAAAATAAAAATAAAAATAAAATAGAGGTTGCTTTTTTATTTGGCTTTCTGATACTTTGATGTTTGCTTCAATATAAAAGAATTTTTTAATTGCCTACTTCCCCTATGTGCTCAAACCCTAAATATTTGAAACTCTTGCTCTAGGAAGAGATACATGTTTAATCTGTGGCCTTGAGGACTCTATGATTATTGCTTGAAACCTGGTATGCTATCTATCAGAAGGCCCCTCCGAGGGCAGGCTCCTTTCCTAACCTCAGTGAGGGGTGTGAGGGGTGTCTCCCTGGCCTGAACCCCACCTCCCAGAGGACAGCCCAGAACCCAGGGCCCTCGCATTGAGAGGCAGGGTCCCTGTCCCTGGCTACCGAGGCCTGGGGTGGTGCCTCTGACTGTGTGCTGAGGAAAAGCCAGGAGCTGAGAGCCCCAGTTCTAGGGTCCTGGGCCTCCCATTGAATCTGGGCTCCACCATGTAAGCATACCAACCACTGAAGCCCTCAATCTTCAGTGTTTGCGTGGAGGAGCCAGGAGGCCACCCTAGGTCACATCTGTCTGTCTCCTAAGCCACATGCCCTGCCTGACACTGTGGATGAGTCGCTTGCCCTCTTTGAGTACCAGCTTCCTTATCTGTAAAGCAGAGATGAAAACAAAAATATCAACAATCTCAGAGTTGTGCAAGAAAGTGTCTAGTGAGTACATGCTCCTTAAACAGTACTCAGTGTCACCACTGCCAGCGTCACTCCCCCAGTCCCCAGGAGAATGCTCACCCACCCTCCTCTGCTCCCCCCTTCTCCACATCCAGGCAGCACGAGGCATCAGAGCGCTGGGGCGTGCGCACAATCAACTATTTAATCAATTGGAGGTGGGCTTTGAGCAGCCCTGCAGGGCTCTTACCAGCTACTGTGCCATAGACAGCTCTGGGGCTAGTGCCCTGGTGTTGGAGTGGAAAGCTGGGATCAGGGCTAAGGCCCTTGGGCTGCCGAGGTCTCCTTGCAGGACCCCAATCCCAGAGAAGGCAGTACTCACAATGACAGCAGCCATCAAAGTTCCACTCCTTGTGCTGAAGAGTCTGAGATACTTGGTGCCCTTCAGACTATGAGTGGCCTGTGGGGCCAGGCTGGGCCAGACCCAGGCAGACAGACCTCCTGGGGAAGGTGCTTGGCTCCCTGCTTCAGGGCGGGCTGTTGGCTCAGGACCCTCGCAGGGGTGGAGGCTGGGGTGATCCAGGGGACATTGCTCCAAGTGCACATGACGTGTCAGCAGTCCGGCAAGTGCCTGTTCCAGGGATGTCTTGAGGAAGGGTGGAAGCACAGGGAGTGTGTGAGGCTGCTGGGGTGGATGAGCCCAGCAGGCTACCAACTAACCAGCTTCAGCTCAATGGTTTCTCCATCCTTGGGTCTGTAGTCAGCAATACCTGCAGACAGGTCAGGGGATGAGGGGCAGTTAACAGGGCAGAGCATCACACCCCCAACCTCCTGTTCTTGGCCCCTGCCCTGAGGCCAGGGTCTGTAAGATCCTGAAGGGATGGGAGTTAGAAGACTCAGCCACCCACATCTGCCTCACAGCTAAGTCCGCTGGGCTCTCCTGCTATACTGCATCCCCTAGACCAGCCTTTATCTGTAAAAGAGACCAGATCTGGGGTCTCCATCTGCCACCCCTTTATTTTCTCAATTTGATCAGAAGCCAAGCAGAGAAAGAGAGTGCTTTTTATTGGGCTCCCTCAGAGAGTCCCACCTTCTAGAAAGCACTTGGACCAATGCCTGGCACATGGTAAGTGCCCAAAGAAGTTTCAGGTAGCAGGAGCAAAGACAGATGACCTTTAAGACCTTTAAGAATCTGTCTGGTCAAACAACAACAAATGTTGG